TGTCCGTCCGTTCGTCTGTCTGGCTGTCTTTCTGTCTGTTTGGCTGTCTGTCTGTTTCTCTCTCTCTCCTCTTTCTTCTTCTCTCCCTTGCCTAGGCTCTCTCCTCCTCCCCTCGCACCCCCATTTCTCTCTCTTCTTTCTCTCCATCTCTCTTTCTCTTCGTTTATATCTTTCTGTCACACGTTCTCTCCCTTCTCTTTTTCCGTCTCTCATACTCCCTCTGCAGGTCTGCATGCGTGCATAACCGCGTACTACGCGCGTTACTATACACCTTTCTCTCTACCCCCATTTCTCATTGTTACTCTACCTTTCTCTTCCCTTCCCCTTCTCTCTCGCATTCTCATTCTCATTTGCTATCTTCTTACTCGCGTGCTCTTTATCTCTGTTATAAGTTATTTGGCTATTTTAAATCACCACTAACTACAAATTCCCTATACGTCATGTATGTGCGGCGTGTCGTGTACGCATTATGTGTGTACGACTACCGTCCGTGATTCAACGTTGTTGTTTTTCGTTTGCAAAATGAATGAAAGCACGTATTCATATTATCAGGAGATTATCGAGAATAAAACAGCAATAAAAAGTAATCTTACCAGCTGATACTAGCACACATATCATCATCACAACAACTTCGATCTTCATTTTGCTTACAACTGAAATCAAGCTAACACGGTGTATATCCGCTTTCTCTGAGGAAACACTCCACTGGTGAGCGACCCCGGGCGGTTGAATAGTTGAGCACATATTGCACCCTAAATAAACCATTCCCACTGCAAATATTAGGATTTACAACTCAATAGAATAGAACGCACGACTCGAGATACATTATCACGACAACAGGTACTTAAATCGTTGAATTGTAACCGAAAACCGTCGTATATGTGTATGGAAAGGAACTCGTTCCACCCGCCAACTAACAAAATTATTTTATATTAAATACGAATAGAGAATGAGAGCGAGAGAGAGAGAGAGAGGGAGGAGAGAGAGGGAGAAAGAGCGAGAGAGAGAGAGAGAGAGAGAGAGAGAGAGAGAGAGAGAGAGAGATGGGCGGAGTACAGCCAGCAGCACGCACCAGCAAAGCAACTCACCACACACAGCACATACACAACCACACACACACACACACACACATACACACACTCTCACAACATCACAGCACACACACACACACACCACACACACACACACCACATACAAACACACGAACGCCACGCCACGCACGCACCACACCACACACCACACACACCACACACAACACACACACATACACACACACACAACACACACCACACACACACATACACACACAACACACACAATACACCACACACACACACTACACACACACACACACGCGCGCATACACACACAAACACACACACACACACACATATATATAACACACACACACACACGACACACCGCGCCGCACACACAGCACTACACGCGCACGCCAACACACACACACGCCGCACAAACACACCACACACACACACACGCACACACACACACGCGGGCACGTACGCACGCCACGCACACACACACACACACCGCGCACAACACACACACACACGCACGTACGTACGCACGCACGCACGCACGCACACACACACACGCAGGCTGACACACGCAAACGTGCGCGCATGCATATACGTATGTTACACGCACATTCGCGTGCACATTAACACACTACGCAAGCGCGCGCGCACGTGTCTATCACGTGCTCACATCGGTTACGTGCGTAATGCGAGGAGATACTATCTACACGTGCGACACACGCACAGAAGCCGCGATAATGAGTGAAGCCATTATGCATCGCGCTGCTGGAAGCTGCGGCCACGTGTGAAGCCATTCTATTAGAGGCGCCGCCTGTGTTGTGTTATTACTCCCGCTCTCGCGTCCGGATGCCGCCGCGGAGAGGCGCGACATCGGGGCAAGATCGAGTGCCATCGGCTGCGAACAACTCCTGCCTGTTTTCTGATTTGTTTACGTTCTCGATTTAACTGCTTCCGTTCGCGTATTAAAAGTATAAATGTCTAGCGCGGATTATTCCAATATCCTGGATCGCAAACCCCTCCAAGGTGCGTGTGTTCGCGGGCCAGAGCCCCTTCATACGCGGTAGCCTCGCCACCTCCACATCACAAGACCCCCGTGTTTGTTTGTTTCCTGTTTGTTAGTGCGCGCGCGCGCTCGGCGCTGTGCGTCTGTCGTGTGTTGTGTGTGTGTGTGTGAGCTGTGTGTGTTGCGTGTGTGTGTCTTCTGTGTGTGTGCTGTGTGTGTGTGTGGTGTGTGGTGTGTGTCGTCTGCCGTTGCGTTGCGGTTTGTCGTGTTTGTATGTGTGTGTGTGTATGTGTGTGTGTGTGTGTGTGTGTGTGTGTGTGTGTGTGTGTGTGTGTGTGTGTGTGCGCGCGCGCGCGCGTGTGTGTATTCTGCAGCTGGTCCAGGATAGTGCTGCATTCGAATTTACGAATTCTTACATTCCAACGTCATGATACCACCATGTGTCTACCCCCCTCCCCACACACACCATTTACGCACGCATGTACACAGCACACACACACACACACACACACACATCACACACACACACACACACACACGACACACGCACACGCACACACACACCCACACACGCCACGCACGATACACACACACACACACACACACACACACACACACACACACACACACACACACACACACACACACACACACACACACACACAACCCAATGCTCTACGCGCACAGAGGATCTTATTTATATGACGTCATGTACGATGCAATTAAATGTGGCTTGTGCAGCATGTATTCTGCGATTCTCAACATTCGACTTCTCGCACACGGGCCCAATAAAGCCACCGACGATGGCTATAAAACGTAAGCATATTGCTGCCAGGCACGCTCCCAACGTCGCTCGCGCTTTTTAATTATGTTCTTCACACAGTAGCAGTCGATGTTCATGAATCGCCGCCGTGTTAGCACCGCCTGCATCCAAACAACTAGGGTTAATGTTAGCCAAGTGTCGACACGTGTCGAATTTGAGCGAATACTTCACGAGCGTAGTATTGACTGCGTACGCTCCTGCTGCCCCCTCGTGGAGGACATAGGCTTCACGATTGATAAGCAGGCTTGCATTCCATATACGGCAGAAGCTCGCGTTACGTGTACATCGCGCCAGGATGAAGCTCTTTGGGAGGTTGATCGTAGTGCGCATGTCAGAAGGCGACAATATAAAGCCCAGGAATGCGGCAATCGCGCTGGAGACGCTGTCCGATTTCACTGTGAGTATTTAGTATAGATGAGTGTGGTAACACGCAAGCATGAAAAAATTGGTTGGCATCAGTCTATATACTATATAATACTTAACATAACCATAATCATAGTAAATATATACTATAAATGTTATGCTCAATAATAATAATTATTATCATTAATATGTTTAAATATTATTCAACTTATAAATTAACTTTATTTATTAACTTATTTAATAATTATAACAATTATAATGAATGTTATTAGGATCAGTAATCTATGTATGTCCTGCAAGGCAGCATGTCAGTATTAAAATTAATATAGGATGAGCTTTCTTAGCTCTAATAACACATGAAGTACGTCTCGAGATTTTAGGAAAAAATGCAGATCGTATTCAAACGTAGAACGAGGCAGAGTACGACTCGTAGAGCTAACCACGGTGATACAGTCTGTGTGTTATCCATGTTGCAGGTTCCGCGCTGTGGTTCTGAGTGTGTGCGAGTGTGTGTGTATTCGGCCGCGCGTCAGTGAACCGCCCATTCACGACATCAGGTGCCCGTCAGTGTCCCCGTCTTCCTGCCCCTCAACCTCATCTTCCCGTTCATATCCCCAACTTCCCGTTTGTAACACAGATACTCGATAAATAGCGCCACCCTTCCGTCCTTATTTCTTGCTTTCCTATTCGTATACCTACTTTATGTTTAGTAACCCCACTCCCCGGATCATAAACGCATCATCACGCCATTTTACTCAATCTCCTATTAGCATCACGACGTACCTTTCGCAACCACACTTTTCAGTACAAACCCTCATCCGCCTGTTCTTAAACCCACTCTCTCGTCTGTAGACACATCCTCCTATTCATAAGACAACTCTTTCGTCATTAACCCAACCCCGTTCCTAAAACGACCCTTTTGTGGGTAACCGCTCCCTTCATAGCGTATCCCGCCCTTTCGAGGTAACCCCACCCTGCTGTTCCTAAACCCACACTTTCCTCAGTAGCGCCACCCGCCCGTCCGCACGCACACCCTCGGTAACCACCCAGCCCTCGCCATGCTGAAGGAAGCGCTGCCGCTGCCGTGGGGTGCCAAGGAGCTGCTGCAGCAGGACCCATGGCAGTTCCTGAAGCCGACCGATCAGATGCGCATCGAGCAGTCGAACATTCCGTTCGACGCGAAGAAGATGTGCTGGGTGCCGAATAAGAAAGATGGCTTTCTCATCGGAGAGAAGGTGAAATCGGAAGACGGCAAAACGACGGTTACCGTCAACGGAGAGGTTAGTTGGAATCAACGAAGAAAGAAATACAATCCAATAAAGATACGGCGATATATTTATATTGTTTACAAGATTATTTTACATATTATTATTTTTTTATTTATTTATATTATTTTACAAAATATTTACAACGCCACAATAAGCTACATTTCTAATGAGACGTGATAATCGATAATTCAAATGTGGCAAAATAACGCAAATATACATTAACAGATAGATACAGTGTTAACCGCATATTTATCTTGAGTTTTTCGAT